TGGATAATATTGTAAGATCACCATGCTGTGTGTGCTGGCTCAGGCTGTGTAACACTGGAGACATGAGTTGCATCATGCAACATCCTTGCCGGTGTTGTTGCTGAGACGACACTGAGAAGTGTCTCACTAATGCCACTCAGGCTGAGGACACTGAGAGAACTCTGCATGTTAATAGCAGAGACAACAAACAGATGCAGTCTCTGTTGTTCACTGCTACAACACAGCCTGCTGATGCTTTGTCTCCCTTCATTGGCACCACATTAGGGAGCATGAATCACTGATATGAATCACTGAGCTCTAATCAGGCCAGTCAGTGTGACAGTTAATCCCAGCTGAGTCAGCGTAGCCTGAGGTAAAAGGATGGACGTTTGATTTCCAACTGATTTATTTGTGGCAGTGATTCGCAGAACCCCCGGGTTGCTCACCCTGCCGGTCTTATGAGCAGTCCTGACAAGCAACAAAATCTTTGAACTGCTGGTTAAGATTTAAAATAACTTTCTTAAGTTTAAAGTTGCATGCAGGGCTGCTACCTCAGTGTTTGATTTGATTACCAGTTGGAGGAAACTAGAGCTGACTGTAAGTGCCATTATACAGCAAATGCACTGTGAGAAATCAACAAGAAGTTCTGAATTTTTCGTACCCCCCCCCCCAACTTGACATAAAGCCCTGATGAGCTGGCCCCAATGTGTCTAAACAAGGAAAGGAAGAAACTGAATTCTGGATCGGTCCAGTTCTCAAGACAAGGCAGCAGCAGGGAAAATTTCATGGTTTGAACCTGGAGCTGAAGTTGCATCATGAACACTTTCGTACATATTTCTGGAAATGTGTGGCAGCTCTCACTGGGACCACATCTGAGGAGGCAGAAAAATCATTTCAGAGAGCCGATGGTCACAGAGCAGTGCAGCTGTGTGTCTGAGGTAAAATAACAATATTTGACTGTTTCCTTATAATTATTCATTACTAGTGCGCATTTTGAGCTTCGAATGCACTTGTTGCCAAATGCAGTAATCCCATTGGTCAGATCTGTTTATTCATCTAAAAAACTGACGTTGGTTTGAAAACAAAATGCTGACAACAGCTATACTGAGAACAGATGAGTCCAAAAAATATTTTTAATGCACGAAATAATTACACAATTTTTACGTGTCTGGTGGATAAAGGCCTTAATGCTTGTGTGAGTTTATACTTTAATAAAATCTGCTTTTCTAACTCGATATGGTGAGGCAGCTTTACGAATGGTTGCAGACCTATCTCACTCTACCGTCGAGCTCACTGAAACCTCATATTGTCATCTTTCAGTACAGCTCCTTATCAGCAACAAACTAGCAACAACTTAGCAGCTTTGCAACAATGTTGCCAGATTGTTGCGTCAGTATTTCGGCTCTCTGACGTGGCTACCATTGTTCAAGCCACCTGAGCGTGTCCCCCATGAACAGCTATCAGCAGTGCTTTGCCTTGAGTCTTGTGGCTTAATGCTTTGGCTTCATGTGAAGTTGGATAAAATCAATAAAACAATATCTGTTTGCTGTTTCTGTGCCGCCAGTGGGACATCAAACAGCCGCCCACATACTAATAAAAATGGTCTTTAGGCAAAAAATGTCAACCTTCTGTGGATGCAGCTGGTGACCAAATTTCATTGTAATGACTGAGGCACCATCTGGGATCGCTGTCAGGTGCCTGAGCTAGGCTGTCGCTATTTGTACTCTCATGTCTCACAGACAAAAGTGTTTGGACCTTTATTGTTTTTAAAAGTTAGTCATTACACTTTTAAAATCTATGTAAAATATTAAACATCTGCTCTCATTGTACTCATATTAAAACCTGCATTAGCATATCTGTTCATTCTGACTTGCAGCAACCTCATATGTTCAGTGCTGCTCCTGCACCTGAGCAGATGCAGGTCTTCATGCATGCACGCATTTCCATTTTCCATTCCCATTATTAGCTTTATCTTTTTCTCCTTCCTCATCTTCATTGGCTATTGTAGTGCTGTAGCTTCTTCTACAATAGCATGTTTTAGCTCAGGGGCACTCCAGCAGTGTTCATGATTACGCTACTGCGACTGAAGCATAACATTGAATGCAAGAATGATAACCACCTATTGCTGCTACTGTTGCACAAACAGCGGTGACAGAGACACATCCACGTGAGCAGCCCGTGTGATTGTCATACAACCTAAAAACCTCTAGTGCATGCACATATACAGGGAAATCACAAACAAGGAGAAAAGGAGAGTAAATAGATGTATTATTCATACTGCAATTACTTTATCTTCAAAATAATGCAGAGTCATTTAGTAACCAGTGAGAAATGAAAATAATAAACAGGGATGCTCCAGCTCTGAGGAGGGAGAAGAATGTTTTGTTCCTATTGGTTGTTATATTTTACTGTTTTTTCTTCATTAAACATACTAAAAAATTTTAATTCAGCCGCTACACTAATTATATACAGAAGCCTCTCGCATAATATTAAAGGCTTTGAGGCAAAAATTAAAATGCTGATTATGTGAGGGAAGTTTGAATACATGAAAAATCAGCTGAGGAAGGATGTTTCGTGTGTGTTTGTGTGTGTGGTGGTAGCGGGGTGTTCTTCCTGCCAGAGTTGTGTGGGTGTGTTTTTCTGTCTGGATGTGTGTGTGTGTGTGGTGACCCGTAAGTGTGAGGGTGAGCGGTGCATGGAGCTACAATATCCTGATGAACACAGCACCAGCTGAGAGACCACCTGGATTATACAAACCTACCTGACCCCTTGCGTGCACACACACACACACAACACACACACACACACACACACACACACACACACACACACACACACACACACACACAAGTAAGGAAGGATTAAAGGACAGGTCCTGGACAGGTGGTGAAGGGTGTTGGTTTGAGAGGGAAAAGGATAATAAGAAAACTTTCTGAATTTGTGCTCACATTCAGCTCTTAATGTTTCAGAATGATCTCTTATATCCTTCAGAACTTTCAGTTTTATTTTTATCAGTGTAGTTTTAAAGCATTTTTCATTACCTGTTATTAGAAGTTCTGGTAATATGAATTGTAGCTGACACCAAACTGATGGTCAGATTGTCTAAGATGACTGAGAGGCTGTTTTATGTCTTTGCAAATTGTCGTTTTTTTTTGTTTGTTTTTTGTAGAAATGAGCCAGTTGACACAGCTTCTCAATGTGACTTTTGGAAAGTGATGGCGGCATTTTTCACTAATTGAAAAACAAATTAATGAGAACTTAAACTTCCACATTAGGATTAGGGTTTCCAAACTACATGAGAACAGAAGCCTACATGACTAGACAGAGTCAGTGTGTTTATTTTTATTTTATTATTCATGGGTCTGTGGATGTTGCAGACTGTGTGCTGTTAAAGGTGGACTGAGAGCAAGCCATGTATTGATTGATGGCGAATGATCCAAAAAAGACAAAACATAAGGTTCAAAAAGGGAAACTAAACTCTATAAACTACTGAAAACCAAAACTTGGAACCACAGAGACTAAAAACAACAAAAACACCTACATATATACTGCACACACCTGTACATGGGTATATGTATACATAAAGACCCATTTACAAATAGCTGAACACAATCCATATACCCTGTGCACACCGCAGCACAATTTGATACTTTGTTTTAATCTCTTATCACCAAACATTATAGTAAGAAAACAGCTTTAATGACTAGTTAACAGAGATCCACTTTACCTTAAATGCTAAACAGTGCTACTTTCTTACAGTACTGTTTGTTTCTGTCGACTATGCAAGTTATAGAAAACAGTGTAGGATTCATCTTCTTTTTACCTAATTTACATAAAGCTTTACAGACTCAGATTGGTTGTGAGGAAATCAGGGTAGCCTGGTTTTGTATTTGATGATTAAAGTTATTTGCAGTGTTTTGTTTGTTTGTTTTTACTTTACTGATTTATTTAATTTTTAAGATGTAGTTAACTGTTAATTGTTAGAGGCTAGTTTTCTAGCCTCTACAATTTCTTGTAATGCAAGAAATTGTATCCTTGTTTGCAGAATAAGAAATGACATGCATGGTGCTGGAGCATGAGCAGACAGCACATCTGTACTGCATTGTGAAAGGCCAACTCTGCAGTGTTTTCTCCCCGCTCCTCAGAATGAATCTCTTCCTCTCACAGTTTATTGTGTTGTTTTCTCTTTTTCACACCAGTGCTCAACAAATTTCATTTAATTTATTTCCACAGCCGTGGTGTTTTCTCATCCTCTTCCTCTAATATTACATGCCATTTCCCTAGAGCACCTTTTTTATTTTTCTGCCTGCACTTGGAAAATGCATTTCACTTGTTCTTCTGTTTTACCACTCCTCATCAGTGTCTCGCACAGGCCTTTAAAATCATTTATCCTGATATATACCCGTCGGTTTTTCTTTGACACATGCATATAGTTGTTCCTGCATTATTATTTTGGTATGCATCATGATAGTTGACAGCATACTTTCCCATTTCTCACTTTGAGTCTTGAACCTTTTGATCTCTTGCCTACCATCTGTTTAAGCATGAAGGCATAAATAATGCATTCATTAAAAAAAGGAAAAGGCTGCCGCCATTGGTCAGTGGAGGTGGTCAGAGCTGAGAGGATGTAACAAGAACAGGTCCATCAATTCTCTTATTATTGGTGGTTTTCCTGCAATTTTCAGCCTCTACTGGGAAAGCAGTAATAGCCAAATTAAATAGGTAATTCCATTGTTTTGCTTCCCTGCTTTACAATAACAATAAAGCGAACCAATCAATCAAGCCTGGAGGGGCCCAGAGATGACGCAGCATTGTCATTCAGGTTCAGGTTAACAGCTGCAATTCAAAATGAGAACACCTATCATTGTCATAAATGGCTGCTTTGCCTTGGGTAGTGATTGCATATATGAAACTGAATTTGTGGGCTCCACTTGAGGCAGATTTTCTGAGCTTTTTTTCCATCTTTTTCCAACATGCTGCAACAATCACTTTCAACTGAAATCAATTCCTTCACTCTGGAGCTACCTCCATCTTGCCTGCAGTGTGGTGCAGCTTTCCATGACAATCCTGGGAGGGCGATAAAAGAGAACACACTGAAAAACCACGCCAGAGGTATTTTTTCAGTCACTGCTTCACGCTTTATAACCTTCACCTTAACCTATTACCTCACTGTCAGACTCTGCTGTGTGTGTGTGTGTGTGTGTGAGCACTTTTTAACAGACAGTATACCACTCTGAACGGTAATATTACCTTTAAATAAACAAGCTTTTTCTTTGCCCTTTCAATTTAAATTGAATTTAAACGTGGTGGTTAGAAAGCAGACACACTACTTGGTAAATGCTAAATCACCCATGACTCATTAAATCACTTAGGCTACGTTCACACTGCAGGCGAAAGCGCATCAAATCCAATTTTTTTTTTTACCCTATGCGACCCATATCCGATCATGGTGTGACAGTGTGAACGGCACAAATCCGATATTTTCAAACCCGATCTGGGTCACTTTCGTATGTGGTCCTGAATCCGATACATATCCGATGTTTTAGAAAACGACTGCTGTTTGAACGGTCATGTCGCATTAAATCCGTCTTTTACGTCACTGACACAAGACAGACGCTAATTATCAGCCGGAGAAGCGCCCGCGAAGACATCGTGAACGCTTCCTGGCCATCCAGTGTAGATGTCAGTGAAACTGTTGGGAAGACAACGTGAACATTTTATTTGTACTGTATAATCTGCAGATTCTGACAGAAATCTGTAACTATCCTTTGAAGCAGCGCTCCTCTAAAACAGCAATAAGGATCATTATTAGGTTATTTACATTATTATGTCAATAACAAAATAACTTAAAGCAAAAATTGGGAAACATAAAGTCCGAAGTCTTTATATTAAGGGCCATCAGTCAAACAATATTGTTTGGTCTGGGTCTAAACAGAGCCCGTTGTGTGTGACGTCTTCTTTTGCGCATGCGGGCTGCTTTGAGCATTCACACTAGAGCACGTTTGCTGACGCATTTTATTTGTAGTGTGAACAAGCAGACAAAAAAAATCGGATTTGATCAAAAAATCAGAATTGAGCATTAAGACCTGCAGTGTGAACGTAGCCATAATGGCACCAGCAGGCACACACACCTTGCTTGGAGCCAGAATATTGTAAAATCAATGTTAATTCTCAGCCAAAGTCAGTCCATGAGCTGCATGTGTCAGCACTCATTGTGGAGATATTCAGTCATTAAACACACATCCTTGCGAAGGTCCGTAAAAAAACCTATTAAACTCATTTTCTTGTTGTGCCATGAGGCAACAACAGCAGGGAAGATAACAATGAACCTTTGCCAGTGTGTAAGTTTTCAGATAAAAGGCTTATCCAGGTCTTACACTACCAGCATCAACACCTTGTGTTTCTCATTTTGGAAAGTGTCCTCTACAAACAGGACTTTGTCGCATTAGGTTTTCATAGTTACACACTAGATGTCCTTTGGCCAAAACCCGGCATGGCAGGCTCTATTGATCTCTGAGCAATAATGGACCCAGTGTATCATCCAGGAGACTGTGGTATTGTGTTTTTCAAACAGCTTCAATATTTTTCCCCTTTCTTCTATTTCGGCTTTCACTTGCTTTAGAATTACGCACCTGGTTAGGAAAAGATCAGAGTTTATTTGCTCCTTTATGGATCTCACCCAATTCCCTAATCAACCCAGTATCACAGCAAAACATGTATTAGACACATCAGTCCACCGTGTCCATTTGTTGCTTTGCCTCTGCAAAACGTGGAAGCGACCCACAAAAGGACATGTAATGCATAACTAAGGCACAACGCATTGTGACTGCAAGAGCAATTAAAAAGTTCAGAGACTCTGTAAAAGTGGCTGATTTCCTCTTGAAGATGATCTTCTCCCAACTCGTCGTGAACACAACAGCTGGCTCCACGGCTACAGCCCTACATTTGGGATGAAGCTCTAAAAGTGGACTGTCAGGTCAGGAGTATAACTAGGAGCATGCACAGCTAGGGTTGCCAACCGTCCCTTAAAATACGGAATCGTCCCGTATTTCGAAACAAAAGTACACGTCCCGTATTGAGCTAATAAGGGACGCACTTTGTCCCGTAATACAGTGAGAATCAAAAGTAGTCTATAACTTTTAATGGAATTAACGCTTTGTT